TCTTTGGAGCCATCACAATGCTCTCCTCCCAAACTACACCTCGTTCCAAATCACGCATATAGTGTACTTCATCAAAAATAATCCAGGCCACCTCCCTAACAACCTCTGATCCCTTGTACTGCATGCTACGCCAGATTTCTGTGGTCATAACCTAAAATTTAAACACATATTAGCCACGCAGGCTGAAAAATACATTACAGACACACATCACTTCAGCATCAAAACATACCAGACAAGAAGCATTGGGCTCAATGGTCACATCTCCAGTCATCAACCCCACGTCAGAAAACTCTTCCTTAAACTCTCTGTACTTTTGATTACTAAGAGCTTTGATTGGTGAAGTGTATATCACACGTTGATTATTCTTCAATGACATGGCAATAGCGTAAAGAGCCACAACTGTCTTACCGGCTGATGTATGTGCTGACACCTAACACAAATTTTAAAACAAGATCCAAGAAATAAATACTATAATAATAGGTTGGATTCGAGCTCTCATAATAAATAAATTACATATAAAATTTACACAGTAATGGTGCTAAGCATTGTGATCAAAGAAAATGTTACCATGACAGATTCACCAATGTTAAGGCATTTAATTGCTTCAGACTGGAAAGGGTCCAGCGTAAAACTGAACTCCTTGGCAGGTTTTGAGTCTCCTTCAGCCTTGGCCAAACTTGAATCGCGAGGGACATAACCTTCCGGATATGACACATCATGAAGACAAGCCACTGGCTCATCCAAACCCAGTACACCACTCTCTCGCTGCTGCTTTTCAGGTCTTGATATTTCACTTGTATCAGTCGGATCTTCTATTGATTTCCTCTTCAACGAACCCATCTTTGCCTAAGATTGCCTGGGAAACAAAGCAATACAAATTGAAATTCTCGTTCTAAAACAATCAAATGCCTGTTCCGTGAGGGTTATAAGGCTGAACTGGCTAAATCTGAGTTTCCTAACAGGAAAAGCATTGGGTAAAACCCCATTTCAGCCAAACAAATCAATAACATTATCGCCAACCTATCCACTATCCCAGCCCAGCTCATTGAGGTCAAAGAATCAAATAAAAATTGTTTTTTCCCCTAGTTTTTTCTGTCATCTATACTCTATTCAAAAGGAAAAGAAATCTGACATTGTTTTCCGTCCAAAAAAATCAAAAAAATCTGATCCGTTCATTTCTTTGTATGCCGGATAAAGGGTTGTGATTTGCTATTATTCATTGGGATTGAACACCAATATTCACGGCACATTTATTGTTTTTATGTACAGTTGAACATTCTTCACTTTTGTCTTGTTGGGTATGCCAGCTGCCAGATTGAGGGAGGTAGTATCCAAGGTATGTAGTATGTACAGTTGAACATTCGTTTGGTTTGTGTAAAACATTTGATAAAACAATAAACTTTTCCTAATATTTCTTACAGCGGACTGGTAATCCTAAATCATTTCCAAAGGAAATTTGGAAACCGGTTGGTATTAGAGGACTGTTCAAAGTATCTGTGAAGCAGAATGTTGATGCTGATTTGTACAAGGGACCTAAGTCATAAGGTGTTTTGTCTTTTACGAGGGATATACACACACACTAGCAATGTATGATTCTCCTAGGGAGTAACATGCTTCAAATAAAATATGCAATGACTTGGACAATGATGCTGAGTTTGATGAAATGGAAATAATTGTCTAATCTTATATTGAATGTTTTAGACAGACTTATGTTTTGAAATTAAAATATATGTAGATTGGATCGAATGTGTATTTGAAGAAGTTAGGAGCTCAGGTCGACAGTGTGTATGGTCTATTGTCCCATATTTCGGGTCAATACATTTTGAATTCTGAAATTGACAGGTTAAACTGAAAGTGTCAGGGGTTTTTAAATTTATGAATATGATGATCAAGACAGAACAAAGATGCTGTTGTGTTATGTGCACGCCCTATAATCCTGATTTTTGGAGTTAAAATTGGTAATTTAGATATTTAAATCCCATTTATATATGTCAGATACTCCCACTTCTTATACAAAGCATTACACAAGTATATAAACATTTCAGCACCGTGTCAACAAATTAAAGTCATGTATAGAATTACCTCTTACATTCCATTATATAAAGTGTCTCACTTTAAGGTAGATGTCCATTTTCCAAAATTACTGGAGCATACTGTGTCCTAAATGGATATCAATCAGTGAGTTATGAGTAGCAAAGAACTGTATGTTGCTTTGTTGAGAAAAGTTACTATTGGATGTGAATGTAGCGATGAGTATTCAGCAAAAAATTGTTTACTTTCGTTGGAACAACCGGGTAAACATTGTATGAGCCAAATAAAACACAATTGATTTGGTTTTTGTGTACAAGGGTTATGTGATGTTATTGCTAAATTGGAGAGTAGTAAAGAGAGAATACTGTGTTTAAGTGTACTAAATCTTGAAATAGTATTGGAGCCAAATGTCCGAATCCACAATCTAGTAAAGGTACTGTACGGTTCTTTTTTTTTTGGTTTTCATGTAATTCCTTTAATCTTCTCAATTATTAAACTAACAGAACAATGTAAGGAATTTGAGATAATAACTGCTCAAAAATTGGGTTAAAGATTTGAATCACACTTATGCATTCTATGTGTTTGACATGTCCTTATCCATATAAACAAGAAATGAATTTTTAATATTAAAGAATGAGTAATGCTAGAGTCACAAACCAAATATTCACAAAATGCACAAACTTACCCAATATATAAAGTAATGGTTTTAAATAATGGTCTCAATAATTACCGTAAAAAATAAAAACTTAAATACACAAATAGCAAGTTTGTGCATTTTGTGAGTGTTTTGTTTGTAAATCTAGCATTACGTTTAAAGAATGTAGAAAATCAAGCATTGCTATATTCTTTTATTGTATTGAAAGGAGAAATTTTTCTATGCTGATACCATGTAATATAGAATGCAGAGTATTCTCATGCATAGGTGAATCAAGAAATCAGGGATACTAGAGAATTCAGCCCTTGCTATATCCATTTGGCTACGACTATACAAAATTACTCTATTAGTCGTACAAAAATCATTTCCTTTTTTCTATTTTTTAAAAATTGAGAAAAACTTTCTCTTAATTGAACACATAAAAAGCATTCAAAACAAGAATCCAAAGATGAAAGACCAATTAAAAATATGAAATTTTCATCAATTATTAGTTGGAAACAATGATAAATTAATCTATTAAAGAGTTAAAACATTAAACATTTAAAATTTCAACTCTATCAAAGTATAGATACCTGTAGAAGTTGGAATGGCAGTTAGGTTGATGGCGGAGTTAGTGGCGGCAAGGCGTAGCCGCGACGGTGCGCAGACTCTGGCAGAGTTAGCGGCGGCAAGGCGTAGCCGCGACGGAGTGTTTTCGACTATGCTGATATTTAGGAAATAAGGAAGCTTTGCACGGAGTGTCTTCAAACCTTAGGTCTTAGGTCTTTATGCTAACGACGTTTTTAGTTTTTAGTCCCCACACATTTGATTTGTTTAAAAATAATTAAATATTACCGAGTATAAAAAATTGATATTTTAAAATTATATTCTAAACAAATCTAATTTTACTAAACTTACATTATAACAAAATATATTTTTTTAATAATTCTTGATCAAACTCAAAAAAGTTATCACAATTTGAATTTTTGGTGAAATTGTGTAATATTTTTTTTAAAAAAATTAAATACGAGTATATTACAATTAATTTATATAATTCTTATTTATGAAATGTCATATAGTGTATAATAACACACTAAATATTAGGAATATAGATCGGTCATCGGTCATTATTGATACATATTACTTGTACAATGGCCGTGTTTGAAAAACAGCATTTGAGATAGCTTTTGGCATCTTTGATTGACTTTGGCTTTTTTGACCTAGTGAACCGCCAAAACCATTGTTTGGCTACTGGCTTTTTCACTTGGCATTTTGATCCGAAAAGCCAAAATCTGAAATGCCAAGGGGAGTAGCATTTAGACTTGGCGGTTAGGAAAAATAATTTTTTTAAAATCATTTTTGTTGAAAGATATTTTATAATATATGTAAAAAATAAAAATAAAGGTTAAAAAAATTAAATACGAAAAAAATAAAATGAAATTTAAAAAAATTTTATATTTATAATTCATTAAAAAATTTATATTTATAATTTATTATGAATTAAATGAAATTAAAATTTAATACTCCATATAGTAAATATTTAATTTTTTCATGTAAAAAAATGAAAAATAAATATCGTGTGTGTGTGTATATATATAATTTTTTAAATTTTTTAAAAAAAATTATGNTAGTGAACCGCCAAAACCATTGTTTGGCTACTGGCTTTTTCACTTGGCATTTTGATCCGAAAAGCCAAAATCTGAAATGCCAAGGGGAGTAGCATTTAGACTTGGCGGTTAGGAAAAATAATTTTTTTAAAATCATTTTTGTTGAAAGATATTTTATAATATATGTAAAAAATAAAAATAAAGGTTAAAAAAATTAAATACGAAAAAAATAAAATGAAATTTAAAAAAATTTTATATTTATAATTCATTAAAAAATTTATATTTATAATTTATTATGAATTAAATGAAATTAAAATTTAATACTCCATATAGTAAATATTTAATTTTTTCATGTAAAAAAATGAAAAATAAATATCGTGTGTGTGTGTATATATATAATTTTTTAAATTTTTTAAAAAAAATTATGATATGATATTTAAAAAAAATTATAAAATAAAATATACCATAAATGGAGGGATGTCTTTTTATATAATTTTTCTTACAAACAGCTAACTATAAGCAGCTAAACTTGCCAAACACTTAAAATTTAACTGCTAACAGAAACAGCCGGTCAAAACAGCTAACTCAATCAGCCATTCAAACCAGCTAACATAAACAGCCAACTGCCAACTGCCAACTGCCAGTGTCCAAACAAGGCCAATGTTAAGGTCGTTGAACCGGTGCATTAATTCGAATCTCAGACCGATTAACTCTTAACTCAGTTACTTGTTCGGTTCGAGATCTTCAGAATATTTGATTATTGATGGGCCAGTCAAACCAATTGCCTCACTAAACTTGGACTGAAGCCCAATTCGTTTCTGCAGTTTTGGACTAGAACAGTTTTAGATGGAGCTTCGCCTCCCATTCGGATCTGGCCGCCTCTCTCCGTCCACCGGACAATCGCCGGCGGGATTTTCTTCTTTTATCACCACCCAACCTCAGTCCCTCAGGTATATATATTATATTATATACGCTTTGATTTCTTCAGATTAAGAATAAAATTAGATTGTATATTTGTGTAAAGCGATTTAAGTAGGATCAAGAAATAGGCTCAATTGATGGAGAAGTGAAGCAAAAAGTTGATTTGAAAGGGAGAGAATTTCCAATAAAGGAAGTGTGCAAATTAAGTAGGAACAAGTGGAGTTATCATATTTTTTATCAGATTTTTAACTCGCTTTTCTCAGGCAAAAGAAGGTTTTATGCAGAGATAGTGTAATGCTTGTCTTAAAACAAGTGAGCATTTTCAGTTCAGTTTGTTTAGCTAAGCCACGAGCTGCTTGTGGATAATTTCAAAAAGATTTAATTTTGCTATTGGGAACTACTCCCTCTGTGTGGATTTAGTTGTCCACTTTCTTGTTTATGGTTGTAATGAAATATTTGTTCACTCTTCATACTTGAAAAAAAAATAATAATGATGAATCGTCTAAAATATCTTACAGATTGTGTATGAGCATTGTTGACATGACAAACTCACAAACATATTTGAAGGACCTATTTGTCATTTTAAACTCATTTTCTGGAATATGATTTAACACATAGGCTAAACATTTTTATTACTGAGGATGTATTATCGTAATCAGTTGCGTGATTAATCTATTCATTCCGTTACCGGAAGCGAATGAGAGATTGATAAAATCATAAAATCTCTCAATGGTTTACACATACTTATCTAAAGGATGAGTCATTCTTTAGATCTTCTGCTTGCTCTTCAGAATTTATTGGTACATTGTTTTAAAAGAATCTCACAAATAAAGAAATACAAAGTATAAAACACAGGCAAATCTGCCACACTTTGTCTCTAAGTTTTTATATAAGAATTACATACATTATTGAATGTACTCTTTATGTTCCCTTCACAAAGTTCGTAAATTATTTCAGTTGCCTTTGATGGTGCATTTTAATTAAGAAAGGTGTCTTATTCAAAATATAAAGCCCATATTACGGACAACTTTCTGCCTGCACTCCTCACCTTGATTCATTACTGTAACAAATTGATATTCTGTGAAGTTATGGATGGCTTTTTTTGCATGCATGGTCCACTATTAATCAATGCTCCACGATTGTAGCGATTTACACTAGAAATTTGATATGTCCTGAAAGCAATGGATAAAAATTTGCATGCATGGCCAGATATTAATTCCACAATTAGAAGTGATGTTATTGCAGCATTTGGATTTGGCAGGAAAAATTTGCTAAAAATGACAGTATTATACAGAATGCCCAACCTTGGGCTTGTCTTTCACATCTGAACTCAGGGAAGATGATGCCAGCACCTCCAACCCCTAGGACTGAAAAGTTAGAAGGATTGTCAATGCCGGGAACTGGACTTCACAAAACTGTTTTGATAACCGGGGTGAGCAGGGGGCTTGGTAGAGCACTCGCCTTAGAGTTGGCAAAGCGAGGTCACACCATTGTCGGCTGCTCCCGTTCTCAGGATAAGCTCAGTTCTCTTGAAGACGAGCTCACATCTGCCTCCACATCATCATCATCGTCTTCTCAAGGCAAACATCTAATCATGAATGTTGATGTGGTACAGTTACTATCTCGGCATCCTCCCCCAGAGTCCTTTAACATCACAGGCACACATACATGTGTATATCACTCACAGATCACGCAGAAAACACTGATTTGTACTTTCAAAGCTTGAATTCAACTTGACATGTCTATAATTAGTAACAGAGAATGGTGTTAGAAAATTGAGAACTAAGGATGGATGCAATAACAAAGTCTGCAAACTTATACAGTTTTACTTGTGTGTTGATTCTTTTGGATTGATAGGAAAGTAAAACAATGATTTTTCAACTAATTTCTTCAGATAACACTATTTGATAATGAGGAATTAATGATAATTCATTAATCTTACTTCTAATAATTTTTTTTTACATCCTGACCTCTATATCCCTCCTTCCATTAGATGCGTGCAGTTTGCTTGACTCAACCTGCAATTGGACATTATATACAAATTGTTAGATGATAATTGAAATTGCTTTATGATTGCTTCCTAGAGGTCAAACAGCAGCGTTGAAGAACTGGCACATGCGGTTAGGGAAAAGAAAAGCATTCCGGATATTTTAGGTATGTACACTATAACAATCCTTCTGTCAGAATTTATTTGTCTTTCTGTGCGTTAGTTACTCATTAGTGTGTTGCTTGGCGTAGGCCGTGTATGGCTTTAAAGTTTTTCTTCCATATATTTAACATTTTTCTTCAATTAGATAGCTACTGGTTGTTGATATAGAAAGTGTTCTTTGGTAGTTAACAACGCAGGAACCATTAATAGGAACAATAGGCTATGGGAGGTACCAGTGGAAGACTTTGATAATGTGATCGATACAAATGTGAAAGGAGTAGCAAATATGATGCGTCACTTCATTCCACTTATGCTTGACAGGAAGCAGCAAGGTGTTATTGTTAATTTGTCTTCGGGATGGGGAAGATCGGCTGCTGGACAGGTTAAACTCTTTTGCTCCAGTTTACCTGTTTGAATGAAGGGTTATGTAGGGGAATTTGATGACTTATAGTTGTTAGTGTTAGTCCTTTATCTTTAATATAAAATCCCCCCCCCCCCCCCACACACACACACATATATATATCTGCGTGTGTGTACGTGTGTGTGTGTGTATGTGTGTGTGTGTGCATCCAGCCTCCCAAAATCTTCCGCTCTGAAACCCTTCATCCAGACCTGTTCTTTATGGTATATTTAGCTGATGGGTTTTGGAGGGGTATTGAGGGGAATGCT